TTGAGACTATAGATATATTTAAGATAGTTTCAAATAATAAGTACCGTCTATGAATATTAAATCAGAATTTATTATTCGACAGATACTTTCGATTCTTGGTATAATACGTTCTCAGGTTTGTTTAGAAACTCATAAAACACAAGCCATTTGTATTTAACTAAGTAAAATAAGATATCGTTATTTGAACTGAAATTGTAACGTCTTTATCATTTATAATATTTAAAAATTTTTCATAATTTGCTTCTTAAAATGTTAGAGTAAATCAAAAACTTTAAGCTACATTTTCATGTTAAGAATGAATAAGATACTCAGTAAAACTCTACGTGGTTATAAAAACAAAGTATATATTGCAACGAAGAGGAAAAACAACGGCGGATGCTCCGCATACCGGCCATTCTTTTTCGCGGTTAAGTCCTTGCCCCGCGCGTTCAAGCTTTTTGTAACCATAATACTTCGAAGAGACAATAGACTTGTCTTCTTGCGAAAAACGTTTCGCATCTCCGTGGCGGTATGTAAAACTCGGGATTACGCTTCGAGCGAAAAATTATCGCTTCGCGAAAGTCTTCTCTTTTAACCGCCTGACATGATAAAAGCAAGATTCCTTAGTCCGCGTGCCGGGCGAGTTTTCAAAAAACTTGCAGTATTAATTTTAACTTTTTGATATTCTCATTTATATTGCAGGAAACAGAAAACTCGAGAAATCGTACATTTTTACGCTAATAGATCCGTACGTTATTAAAAAGATTATTCGACTCTTTTAAGACCAAGATTAAGAACTTCAAACAATTCGAAATGATAGAAAGGACTAAAAACCAACGCTGGTTAATTGATAATATTTACTAATTTTTCAAAATCAAAGTACATAATTAAACGAACGTTTTATTCTACCACACATTTTCAATGTGTTAGTCAAATACATACATAATAATCAATCCTACTTTACAATACATTTTTATAAAAGTTAAATAATTAAAACAATAACTGTCATGTAAAAATTTTGCGGTGGAACAATTACTTCTTTCTTCTAATTCAATTATTTCGAATGCAATCTGTAGGTATTATTTCCTTTTGTTGTTCTTTATTTAAAAATATGTCAAATTCAGTCGGATAGCCAATTGCAGTAGCGTGATGGGAAGTCGATCTCATAAATGTCATATAAACCTCCAAAAGTAAATCGATCTAGATCGAGACTCGTGTTTCTTTGAAAATTACCCATTGCAATCAATTCATAAAAATTTAGAAATAATAATTTACATTACATTAATCCCTATTGACTTTAAATATTTACTGGAATATTTACTGGATACTGGACTAATATTTACTGGAATAATTATGCTTTACGCCACTTTACGGAATAGGATATACCTATTAAATATACCTGTTAAATATTTTTCTTATAAACATAATTTAACGACGTTAAAAGTGACGATAAATTCTATCAATCTTATAATAATAATTATTTGTAAATTGATTTTGTCATACCTGTTAAAGGAAGCTTAAGGAATGGGATTCCTTTGCTTAAAACCATGTAATAAGACGATGCCTTTAATGGAATCTAAACTCCTCAAATTTTGAATACGAAATTCGCATAATGATGAATCGCGTCGCTAACGTGGAAATGAAGCGACTCGATCTAGTCTCAATTAACGTGCACCACGGTTGCGCGACGTAACGTCATGTAAATTAGAGCGTAGCTCCCGCGACATTACTCTACGACGGCTGTTATCACGAAGGAATCGACCGGATGTAGTGGATGCAGTGGTGGAGATAACGGTTGTTTCCTACCGGCGACGTATCTAAAGTAGATAAGCCATGAAATGCGGAAATCTGCGGACGAAAGCAAGTTATTTTGATGATGATTTACTTATTATCTCTATGTCGCTGTTAAATTAGCTATCGTATTTTCCTCACCTTGTGTAGGTATATCTTTTCATTTAATTCCATTTTGCCTCTCTTATTATAATTAACATAAGAGAAATCAAATCAATTGCTTTTTTTCCATGTTTATGTTACGTTAGAAAAGATATATATAGATATACGTTTAGAAAAGATTAATTATATTAATGGAAGAATATATTTATTGCCGAATAAACACATAATTATAGAATTTCTAATCTTGAAATATTTTTAGAATTATACTATATATAGAATTATATTACATACATATAGATGTTGGAAAGGAATTAAAAGTTAGAAACTAAGAAATATACGTTAGTGTTCGGAGAGATAAAAATAATTCGTAATGTCAAGTGTATAACTGAAATTATGGTACATGCCGTTGATTAATAAACAAAAACGATGAGCGATTGAAATTACCACAGGTTTGTCCATTTGCGTGGAGCGTCCCGGTAACGAGAGTCTGGACAAATACGTGGGCGTGAACAAGTGGAAGCTATCGACCAATATTGCTGGTAGCAGCAATCAATATAGCCAATCGACCAGTTCGATCTGCCACGGAAGATGGTACGGCGATTCGAAGCTGGTAGATTGTCACGATTGGCGATGCGTCCGAAAATCGACCCCGTACACCACGCAATGGCTCCGACGTCGACGTCGCAGGGGAGCAAATAGCAATGCCGTTGTCAACAATACGGATAGAGTCATGAGAAGGCGAAGAAGAGGCAGACGACGGAAGAGGAGTAGAAGAAGAAGGCGCGACGTCGCTGTCGCGAAGCGGTGAATGTTTTCCGGAGATCTATGTTCTCCGACAGCTCTTGTGAATGTCATCGGTGTTAGAATCCCTTTCTCCTATCTATTATTATTTATTAATTATGCAGGATATATCGTAAGATACTTCAATATGAGATTCTTTGAGAAACTCTATTCTAATTTGATCGAGCAGTCAGGTTTTTTTCGTAACAAAAATATTGAGGTCTCAATTTGAAACTATAATTAACTGAAAGCCGACTTCACTTCGCAAATTAAGCTTCAAAGCTACAGGTAGATAGACAAACGAAAACTTACTTCTTATTTAAGTTCGACTGTACTTTAATAGGATTTTAATTTGAGACTATTTCATTTGACTGAGGCATTTAATTTTAAGAATTAGAAAGAATTAGGCGTCCAATTAAATTTTTCGCTGCAGAAAAATTAGCTTCGAATTAGTCAAAGAATCCATTCTTAAAATGTACGCAAACTTTATGGTATTACAATGTATCCTGTATATTTAATTTAATATTATTACTACAGTTATTATTTATATTTAATTTTCTTTTACATTAATCGCTATTCTTATTTATTTTGTTACCATCTTTAAAACTTTTTCTGGATTTACTAAGCTGTGAATTTAATAAATTTGTTGTATGTGACATTTGGGAGACAAGAATGCCACAGGAACGAGTATTGATAATATACATGGTTGCGTTAATTTATTATTTTCCTCTCTATCTTTTCCTTCTCTTTTTTATTCAATCTAATATTGTATTGTGTTTGTCGAATAGATGTAACGCGTTTGTCGAATAGATGTAAAATATATATATTCGTAGCGAACGGATAAAAAGGATTTTATCATTATTATAATCATAAATAATTGTATTTTATTAATAACGTGACTACCATAATACGTATCTTCCATAAGATAGAAAATTTATAAGATCAGAGATTTACTGCCTCGTATATAGTCTTCTTTAATTATTTTGTGTTCCGCCTATTATAAATATAAAATATTTTATCGTAGATATATACAGGGCGTTTCAAAAGTATCATTCATTTATATCTCGTCGGAAACACTCCGACATTAAAAGAAACGATTTTTTTTCAATTTAGATTCCAGCATTCATATGTAGTTTCGTAATAATGTTCATTCTCTTTGCGATGCCCTGTATGCTATGAAAATAATTTTTGATGTCTCTAAGTATACATATTATCTAACAAATTATACATATCGTTTGATATAACAAAATTTCCGTACAATCTCATTTTACTTTTTAGTATCTATTAGGTGCGCAACTAAGTTCTCGCTGTTATTTTCATGGCATTTGCATCAAAATAACAGCGAGAACTTAGTTGCGCACCTAATATTTGTGGGTCTAAGTGCGTGGGATATCATTATTTCTCTTCATGAGAAACATATCGGCGCGACGAGAAAGTAGAGACTCTCGAATTGAAATGAACAAAAATGTAAAAGCACAGTCAATAAAGAGTACTTGCACACATCTGAATTACAAATTGAATTAAAAACGAAATTCTTCTTCCTTCCTATGACTCCTTCTTATATATAATCGAACGACAAATATTTATTTCACGAAAAAAATTTACTTAATCTTTTAATTCTTAATATTAAATATAGATATAGAGAATAAGGAGGGATATCTATATTATTATTGCGAATATATATATGAGAGATATATATGAGAGAGACCGATAGAGAGAAATAATTTGGTTAACGCTAAAGATTCATTCATTATATATTCATTATACAAATTAAATTATGCTGCATTGAACAGTTGCATGTCATTAAATGTCATAATCGCCTATACGTCAGATTATTCGCATTGTATCATACATAAGTAATAATGTTTAATATGTAAATAATTAGCCTGCTGCGATTGATGTCGTACTTCAATACAAATGTTACATTACATTGACATTATATTACGGATTCGGAATACATATTTTATACTTTACGTGTAATGTAATAACATATAATACATATACAATATAACACAATTATTATTATTATTATACATAATATATAAAATATTGTAAATATTGTTATATATCAGAAAAATTTAATGTGCGAATTTAACTACAATGATAAAATAACGGTGACCTATTTGTGGTTTCACTGCTAGTTAATCGCTATCGATTTCCTTCGAAAACAGGAAAATCTGTAAACACAGGATCCGGTTTAAGCGCGGTGTTTTCGTTGCTTATCCTTCCTACTTGTATATGAACTATCCTATATTTCGTGAACGGATCTTGCGGTCGCTTGAAGACGACCATCGTTTATCGTTGACAAACCGCTGTATCCTCCGTGATTCTCCCATAAATACCGGTATCAAAGTACTCAGCAACGTAAAGACTTATACGTTGTCTCAGAAGCAACGTCGTGATCCTTACTTTTATTTCCATTATAGTTTCTGTTATAGTTTCGATTCCGAAGTACGGTTGCGTGATCGTCAATTTTGTCAAGTTAGTGCGCGCACTTGTTGATTGTCAAAATGGAAAGCAAGAAATCAGATATTCTATATCTGTTTGATCGACCGGCGGAGCCTGTGTACGTACCCAAGGGAGAAAACAAAGTCGCTTTTGATGTACCAGCTAACTACTTGGTAAGCTTGATCCTTGACGGTCTTATTACGTATCAATATTGAATTCCACGACGTCAGTTTGATGCTGTTCTGCGCAGTTCACAGAACTTGAAATATCTTGGTCGTATCTGAAATTAAGCCTTAAATCGTAATGCATGACGCTCGAGGAATGTAAAATTTCTAGTTTCGAATAAAAGACTTTTTCTCAAGTCCTATATACTCCCTTCTTATTTCTCGAATATAAGAATTCTTAGAAATAATCCGCAATATAAAATTTATTTACATTATTCAATAATCCATAAAAAGAAAAAGAGCGCTTTGAACGGAGAAAGAATATTTTTCTTCATTAATGTTACTTAATCGATCATATACAAATTTTTATATATAAACTTCGCTTTTTTAAAATTTACAGCCTGAGTCTCGGCAACAGATGGCTCCTGCCATTGTAAGTCGTTTCGCCGATGATACCTCGTCAAAGGTTCCAGTGAAGCAAATCAGTCTGCCTGACTTGAGTGTTCCCCTTCAACTTGGACGTCGAGAACCTTTCTCTCTTTTCATTCCTAAGCATCGAAAATTAGCCGCGCGACTTATCGACATCTTCTTGGGTTTGTTTCTGACTTATTTATTATTACGTTGTATTTACTTCACTTGTCAAATTGTATATAAATTTCGCTTTTGTTTGCGAGTCAATTTAAAAATAGATATATGTATTCGTCAAGTATTAAATTTATCAATCTAAGATTGTGTTTCAAGATCGACAAATAATCAGCGCGCAATTTGCCTGAATTGAACAGTTGTAAAAATTTGCATAAAAATATTATCAGACATTCAAACCTGTCTTGACCGAATTATATGGCATTAAATTTTTTTTTTGTAGAAAAAAATATAGATTAATTAAATTAGATTAATTAAACGTATTACATATATTGTCACAGTAAGTTACCCTGTTATGTTTCTGCAAACTTGATTTAAGCCTCGTTAATTATTTATTAATACGTGTTATAGGTATGCGAACATATGACGACTTTCTTTCGGTATCGGTTTACTGTCGCGATCGCGTTAATCCCGAGATGTTCATTTACGCACTCTCGGTGGCGATCCTGAATCGTCCAGATACCAAGAATTTACCGATACCACCACTATCAGAAATTTTCCCGGACAAGTACATAGACAGTGGGATATTTTCCAGGGCAAGAGAGGAAGCCAACGTTGTACCGGCTGGCTCCAGGGTACTTGTTCTCTAACGCATTAATTACCAACAGGCTCGTTACTTAATTGTGCTGTTTAATTAGCTGGCTTATTCTTTGAATCAAAGGCAAATGACGACAAGATAAATTAAGTAAACGTAGAAAGCTTTTTCGTTTTAACGAAACAATTTTCACCTTTAAGTTTCGGAGAATATAAGACGAGATAATGAAACAAATAATCATATTCTGTAATAATTTAGTAATTTACATACAATCTATTATAGTACAAAACTAATGAAATGTATTTAGCTGCTTGACTGCAATTTTCCGAAATTTTCACAATTTAGATCACATTATTGAATTTGTACAATATCCCAACAATTTTCAGCATTCTCGTTAATCACCTCTTAACTGAAAAGTTATAGTGTATAAATTGTTATAATACAATAATGGAAGATGTAGTAGGTCGATCTAACGAGTGCCGCTTTATATTAATTTTTAACGTAAAAGTCGTTTTATCGTCTCGTTATCCTTACAATTCAAAGGTGCCTATTGAAATTCCGCGGGATTATACTGCGTCGGATCTTGACGAGGAACATCGCGTAGCTTACTGGAGGGAAGATATTGGGATTAATCTTCATCACTGGCACTGGCATCTGGTCTATCCATTTGAGACCGACATCAGGATTGTTAACAAGGATCGGCGTGGCGAGCTATTCTACTATATGCACCATCAGATCCAAGCCAGGTAAGTGAGCCAGCGAGTGCACGTAAGTCGATATAAGATTGGATACTCTATTCTACTGTGCCTAGATCGGGTATTATATAGGCGACTGAGATCACCATTTGATCTCGATCGTTATTATCACGCGAGAACTCGTCTCGATTCTGCATAGTATTCGAGCAATGTTTGCTAACGAGCTCGGAAATGCATTTTCGCGTAGAATAACGGAGCAAAATTATTCAGCGATGAATTTCGGAAATAAATGTAAATTTAAATGCCTGTTGAAGTACTTATGAAAGTACACTGGGAAAATTGGAGCGATGTGAATTAAGAGATATTACGAGGAGCTATTTTTAAACTTGCAAGAGATGTTTCTAAAATCTATAATCTGCAATAATAGTACGTTCTAACTATTATTATTCCAATTAATCAAATTATTATTGGTCTAACTATATTAATTATTTAAAAGTTATACACACATTTATCAACAAATGTCTATTTTCCGTAACGTCTTTCCTACTGTCTACTATACGAGTCTACGTCATTTATGTCGAAATACCGAACATCCGAATCGCCTGGGGTGTTACCGATGGGAATTTCCACGGTCTCTGTGTTATTATTCGGATTCCTCTTGATTCCGCTTTTCGCAGATATAACGCTGAGCGTCTGAGCAACCGATTGGGCCGAGTGAAGCGTTTCCACAATTGGCGCGAACCGATCCCGGAGGGTTACTTTCCTAAGTTGGATTCGTTGGTGGCCAGTCGCACTTGGCCCGCTCGCCCCGCCGGTGCCATTCTTAAAGATATCAACCGTCCTGTGGATCAATTGAACTTCGACCTTCAAGACTTAGAGAGATGGCGTGATCGCATATATGAAGCCATTCACACCGGCGCTTACATCAACCCCCGCGGCGAGAGGGTGCCTTTGACCGAGTTCGGCGGCGTAGATGTGCTTGGTAACATCATGGAGGCAAGCATCCTTTCGCCCAATCAAAATGTGTACGGAGATCTTCACAATCTCGGTCATGTCGCCATCTCTTACTGCCACGATCCTGATCATCGCTACTTGGTAATAGAATACTCAATTGTTGTTATTAGTTGCAAAAAGATAAAATGAAAATTGCGAGAATTTTTATTAAAACTTGATTTTCTAATGTTGATAATTTGTAATTTTTTACATTAAATAAAACCCTTCCTTTGAGCAAGCGCGTTAAAGCAATTAATATTTTCTTCTTCATTTTTTAATATAAAATGTTTTTGATCGAGAAAAGAACGCGTAATTTCTGAGCACGCCTTTATTTTTCACTTGAAAAATTTCATGCAAATAATCATGAACTAGCTACATTGACATGATAAACGGAACATTTTCTTTTTTTTGTGTTCCGGCTCGCAGGAAACTTTCAGTATCATGGGAGAACCGGCCACCGCTATGAGAGATCCCATCTTCTACAGATTCCATGCTTTCACTGACGATGTATTCCTAGAGCACAAGAATACACTTCCCGAGTACAGCCTACAGCAGGTGGGTGTACACAGCTGTCTCGCTTACGCGATATATCATCGGTTCACTCTGGTATATAATGTCGCTAAGTACGCGTACCATGTGGCCCAGAATTACACGCAGCCACTTGACGATAAAAACGCCCGTTAAAACCATTTAACTCGACGAGACTGCTGGACATGTCGGAATTTATCAATCTTTTTGCCTGCATGCCGTGCAATCTCGTTAAATACTAACTCGACAAATGAGGCTTTAATTTTCTTCCATATTCGTGAATAATACACAGGGTATCATTGAGCTTTTTCATTACAATCTCTTCGAGGAAATCTTTGAAATTTAACTTTTTATAAGTACAAATTTAATCGACGTAATTATCATATTTTAATTAAATCTCACTAACACAATCTTGCAGATTTCAACATTGGATTTAAACAGTTTGGTAATTAAACGGCCGTTTAAATGTCAGAATAAAGCTTTTGAAATTCGAGAATCAGTTTCCACCACTTTTTTACATTCTTAATTTTTTTTCGTTCTAAATCATTCTCATTTTTAAAGCGTCTTTTAATTAAGCTCCGGTTTAAATTTTTTTTTTAAAATTTTCCACGGAAATTTATCTCGGTGTCTGACTGTAAAGCTGAAAGAGAATGACGGAATTTAATTGCTTTCTTTCGTTCGTTCGTGAGTTTTAGTTGGACTTCCCTGGTGTAGTAATCACAGACATAGCAGTGCAGACTCCGAATCAACCGGCAAATCAGATTTCGACTTTCTGGACCAAGAGCGACGTCGATCTATCCCGCGGTCTGGACTTTACGCCTCGCGGTGCCGTTCTCGCAAGATTCACCCATCTGAATCATACAGACTTCACATATAGAATCGTCGCCAACAATCGTAATAATGCACCGCGACGAGGAACTGTTCGTATATTCATCGCGCCCAAGCAAGACGAACGTGGATTGCCTTTTGTCTTTAGAGACCAGAAGGAGCTCATGATTGAGATGGACAAGTTCACTGTATTACGTAAGTCGCCTATTGTACAAATTTCATTGTTATCGTTTTTCTTATTTTTAAATTTAATGTCAGCCTATATCTAGAATAATATCTCTTTTGTTACATTATCTTTCCCCCAACGATTATAATATTAACTCTAATAATATTTTGAACATTGCAGTTTATTTTTTAATAAGAATCTTATTTTAGACCGTATATGTGAGAACACAACCAATAAGAATTAGAAATTAAATGCCTATAATAGTCAAAACTGAATTTTTAATGCTTAAATAATTCAATGTAAATTATATATATATATATATACTATATATGTACATATTTATATACCATATTTATAGTCATTCGAACTGCGCGCTGAATTGGTTTTCCGAACTTAAACGCAATTAAACTATTGTAATATTACAAATTAAATTAAATTAAATTGACAAGCAATTTTTAATAATTTGATGTTCAATCAAGTATCGTATTAAAAAGATGTTAATGTGTGCTGAAAAATTGTTAATAAATTTATTGCGAAAAATATATATCTCGGCCCGAATCTCTCCGAGCGCATCCACAATGTCTGATTGAGCGTCAAATTATTAAAAATTGCTTGTCAATTTAATTTAATTTAATTTGTGATATTATTACAGTAGTTTAATTGAGTTATAAGTCCGGAAAACTCGGCGCGCAGTTCGAATGATTATTTGGCATGTACATATATAATACATATATAATTCACATCGAATTATTTAAACATTAAAAAATCCAGTTTTGATCGTTATAGGCATTTAATTTCTAGTTCTAATTTTTTCACGTAATGATTGGAAAAAAATAAAGAAAAAACGTATTAATTTCTGCCACTAATTCAATTTTACACTTACACATAATTCTCGAAATATAAATATATTTTTCTATTTTGAATGAAATCGAATAAAAATAAAAAGCAAGCGTTTTACGTTATTTATGTAGTATTTATGTATAATAGTGTATGAAATTTTTGTTCGCATACTCCCCTAGTGAAACCGGGATCAAATACCATCGAGCGTAAATCAACGGAGTCTTCGGTAACTATACCGTTTGAAAGGACGTTCCGCAATCTCGAAGAGAACAGACCAATCGGCGGCGATAACCTGGAACAGTTCAACTTCTGCGGATGCGGCTGGCCACAGCACATGCTGGTACCTAAGGGCAAGGAGGAGGGATTCCCGATGGACCTCTTCATCATGATATCCGATTACACCGGTGACGCGGTGAGTACTTTTTATACTTATCGAGCTCTCGCGACGCTTAAGAGCTTACAGCTCCCCCCCCTCCCCCACACCCCTTTCCCCCCCTTTTTTTTTCCACTCTTTTAACGACGACGTTCCAATACAAGAAGACGTTCGTATTACTCTGCTTTCGGGCAAAAAAAGGGGAAAAAGGGAGAGGAGAGGAGAGGGGGAGGGAGAAAAAAGAAAGAAAAGAAAAAGAGAACAACCCGCTAAAGGAATTACTTTGCCGTCCTGCGGCGACATGTACAGGTGGAACAGGACGAACCGACTGGATGCAAGGACGCGGCGAGTTTCTGCGGCCTGCGGGACCGCAAGTATCCGGACGCGCGACCGATGGGCTTTCCATTCGATCGTAGAGCCCGTACTGGCGTGGAAACCCTGGCCCAATTCTTGACCGGCAATATGGCAGTCGCGCAGATTACCATCCGCCACACGGATACTGTATTGCCGCGAATGCGATCCGGAAGTATGAGCAATACTCTCACCTTCGCCTGATCCGATGATTGATCGACCAACCAAACGCGACAGATCGCTCTCGCTCACCTCCGCCGAGGATTCCAACGTCTCCGTTCCTACCACGCATTCTTGAGTAGCAATCCAGCAATATCCGTTGTAGAATCGCGACTGATTGCATGGAAACGCGACACGTTTCTCATCCTAGTCTATATCCTAGGATGGTGAACGCCGGGAATGACGGCGACGGGACGGGAGTTGATAAAAAGCTGGAGGTGGGCGAGACGCTATTTCCATATCTCAATGACGGAGGATTATCCGAGGAACGATGCACAATCTTGTGCGTTTTAATTACTAAAATTTCCACATGATACTGCGAAATCGATCCCTGTTACTTGCCAAATTTTACCGGAATTGTAGTTATCTCGTAAAACCTATATTTTCTTTAATCTTAAAATATTTTACAAATATTTTCATATATTCAAATATTTTCTTTCTTAATCGTTTATTTCAATACAAATCTATCGAGCTATCTAAATAAATTAGATAAGAGATATATTATTATTATTTTCATTTTAATATTACAAATGTTTTATTACGAAAAAAACTTGCAAACAGCGTTTGAATATTTCCTTGAACAATCTTGTAGAAGCTGTTTTATTTACGATTTCATAACTTGTGCATCCATGAGCAATGAGTACCGCTTAACAAATGTATTTTTGCGTAAAAACGGGAACAAAGACGTGTCCCGAACGCTCAAGCGAAGCTTTTCTTCTTTCTCTCGTTTCACCCGCATTACGGGAACTAGATTGTAGGAAGCAGCAAATGTAAAAAGCAAAAAAAAAGATAAAAATAAAGTCTATGCAAATTAGATGTGCTCTTTTTTTCACCCTTTTATCGTATTATGGGTGTTGAAAGCAAGCGACGATGTCTCGAATACACGAGATAGAGGAGAGGGGGGAGAGGGAGGGAGAGAGAGAGAGAGTATTCGTTGGTAAAAAGAGTCTAAATGATTTAATTAATTTTTCAAATTCTCTCGTACAGAGTTAAACTTTTTCCATTAGTATTAAGTTTTACATAATTAATACAAGTGAGATGTGTCTCTTGCAGTTCCTCATGTAAAGCATTTTTGAAATATTTAATCTGAAATATATTTTTTTAATTACATTTCTACCACAAATCCATCTCGTTGGCATATCAAAATTAATGACGAGACTAACGAAACGTGTTTGTTGGGAAATAACGAGGCTTGCGCGTCATCTAGTTTATAATTAACATAATTCCATTGAATTACTCAGCATCTCTCTATCAAAACTGGTGTTTTCAACGCCTTTGTATATACATATACATAGATATATATACATATATACATATTATATGTGTGTGTGTGTGTGTGTGTGTGTGTGTATGTGTGTGTGTGTGTGTATATATATCCAAAACGTTACTACGCTTTCCGCACGGGTCCTGTTCTCTCCCCCAAATGCATTTATCACGCGTTTGTTTCTGCTAGTTCGCAGCTAGACGGACGTGGATTTATTCCTGCGAGGGGTAGAAATAGGGATGGGCGGACGAAGATAGATACACGTTTACGACCGTCGCTTAAGCGTCGTCCCTACCTCTAATATCACTCGCGCGGTTATTCAAGGATTCCGTTTCACGCGGGCATACATTCGAACGTTTGATATACTGAGGCGCGCCTGGAGGCAGCAATTGAAGGGCTGGAATTATTTGTCACCGCGCTAAGACATGACTAACCGTAACACGATCGGGCGTTACGGAATTCAAGACGGCGATAATGCACATTCCGTGTTTGCCGATTTGTCGAGGGAGATTTAGTTGGGCGACGTTATAAAAAGTTATTATTATTAGAAGTACGTCGAACGTTAAATATTTTTAAGCTTTAATTCTTTAAGAGCTTTTTAAGATTTTTATATATATATATATATATATAATGCAAATAATTTTTATAATCTAAACACAATAAAAACTGAGATCTTATTATTTTTTCTGATATATACGTATAATGTATAATTTGACAAGCAAATCACATTAGGGCGGATAATGTCTGAGCTTTTCTTAATACTTGCATCTTTCGACGAGCAAGAGAGTAGAGTTTATTTTCTGTTATTTTGTTACGCGTTGAATGTATTTTAAAGGACTATTATCATTTTGTCCAACTGTTATTTTTAAATTTTCCAGTGTGATGTATGCATACATGCTCAAAAGTGGGAAAGGAAGTTAGAGAAAATGGGTAACAACAAAACGGTTACGGTAATGAAGTCGCGTTGTAGACCGAAAGGATGGAGCAATGAAAGAGAACAGATATTTTAGTTTAAAAAATAAATCAAGTTGGGTTACATTTTATAAAACATTTAACGTAACGTTCTTTTTTTCGAATATGTATGAACACGCGAGCTATTACAGAATTAAATTAACAGTAGGATAAAAGCAGGGAATATGGAATAGCGTTTTTTTAACAATTAACATTGCTTCGATATAAATGCATATGAAGACTTAAAATTTACATTGAATTCTAGAGAAATATGCTAGCTATAATATTCAATAAATGAAAGTCCAACGCCAAAATTTCAGTCCCATTCAGTCAATATTTAAATCCAACGTCAATATGAACAAAAAAGTAAAAAGTATGAAAATGGGAGAGTCTGAAAAAGGGGATTAATATGAAATATCTGTGAAATTTAGATAATAGTAACAAATAACATAATAAAGTCCAAATTCGTTTATTTATATAAACCAATCAAGAAAAATAGATAAAAATAGTTTATATTTTTATTGTACTATAACCTAGAAAATATAATAGCATCACATAAACTGGCAAATAATATGGAATATAACTATAATGGACTGATAATGTATGGAATACATCTTATAATTTAACCTGATCACGAATAAATTGCTAATATAAAACCTATTTCATATTTCAACTCTCGATGTATTCCACATTACCTGCATGTCGTCATATGACAAATGAAATCTTTCCGTAGCAATAAACAAATTAGAAATCACAATTTATCTGCATAATATTGTTGATGCAATATTAGTAAAAGCGTCTATGTAATATAAGCAAACTTACCTTTAGTTTGCGAGAATACTTTTTAGAAAAAAACTGTCGAATCTCCTGACGCAACGGAAATAAATAAATATTTATTGTGATGAAACATTGTGTCGGACTAAACTCATTGCTTGTTATAACACGTTTAGTAGCAATTGCAACTTTCATCGATTGCCTCTAGATTGCAATGCTTCGTTTAGAAAATAAGCCATTATTCCATATTAATAGCCTATTCCACATCTCCTGCTTTTACTCTATTTAATTTCTCGAAATTTTTGCTTTTTCTTTTGTTTAACTAACGCAAGTAATATTATGTATGAATATACAAGTAAGGATTCTGAATACAAGAATCGTAACACAGACTTTAGACTTAAGTTGTAGACGTAAGTAACGCACAAGCTTTGGCATATGACGTACAACTTATTGCTATCTCTTGGAGACAACCTTATACGTGAAAGCTTATGCGTTACTTACGTCTATAACTTAAGTCTAAGTAAGAGTTACGACAGGTCTTGTGCTCAGACCTTAAGTGTTTAAAGTGTCAAATAAATAATCATGGAGTAAAAATTTATTTCGTTCAAATATACTCCAAGTGAAAAATTTTTAATTATCTTATACACATATATGTACATACAGAATTTTGAAATAAGATATTCTGGATAGAAACTATCAAAATGGATTTCATGAGAAAAGTCGTACAAGTGAACAGATGTTCACTTGAACGTGCATTTGCATTTCCTAGCAAATTTCTCTTCAACTATGTAAATTGCTACGGAATTTATTTGCGTTTGCTAAAGTAAATTGAAGTAAGAAACATACAATTTAGTGTACGATTGATTACACAGTTGATAATGAATTCTAGATGTCGTTCATATGTGTGTGTGGATGTGTGTGGATGTGTGTGTGTGTGGGTGTGTATGTGTGTGTGTGTGTGTGTGTGTATGTGTGTGTGTGCGTGTGTGTGTCTATGTGCAATCGTTAAGATAAATTATCTGGTTAAAAGCAGTTCTTACTCTGAATGTTCATTTCCTTTCAAGATTTCACTAGATGAGACGTTTCGTTTATGACGTATATAAAGCTAGAGTGCGAGTCTATGAAATGGACGTACCCTTGCTAAGTATACGTCTCATTTTGCAATGGAGATGAAGAGGAGATGTCTTGTCGTTTGACTTAAAATATAAAGCCAGTTAATTCGCACCAATTATACAGTTAAGTTTTGTATAGAAAAAACGTTGTGTTGTGAAATTGTCGGAAACAGTAATTTCTATCTTTAATAATTTATTTATTAGTAAAATTATTATTATTATTATTATTATTATTAAAAGATAATTTCAGGGTTGTCACATTTAAAAAAGATATATAATTATTTAGCAAGAGTCTCGCTCGATGATCAATTTTTCTAATATCTAAAAATAATTACTTGATTTATTTAGATTTGTATTTTAGGAAGGTTTTGAATTTAATTTCCAACGTTGTATTTTGGCCACCTAATTTCCTGATATCGATCGCTATGCGCCATGGCTCTAAAGAGAGACAGGAAGGACAGCCAAAAGTGATCACGTTATACGTTTCGCTATTCCGGCGAGCATGAAGCTGCTTTCTACCCTGTCACGAATGCATCTTAATTTGGAGTAATTAGCAAGGCATGTTGTGTGTGTGCATACAATCTGTAGCCGCGTGTTTGTTAATGGTGAGTTAATCGGCCATTAAGCCTTATCATATTTGAGGGATTACTTCGGCAAATAACAGTATTTTAATGCCAATTGCTTGTTTATTGAAATAATATTCGAGACTATTTAGCTTATTTCGCAATTAATAATAATTATTGCTGCAATACATTACTGATTTTCGTGTATATTACGTGTCATATTTGCAGATAATTTTCGTTTTCATACTTAACGGAATAATTCAAATTCGCACATATTAGAGTGTATTTATAATAGACTATATTTGTTTACTTTTGTACGTATATACTTTATTTTTAATTAAAATTAACAATTAAAATTTAAAAAGGCTTCAAAGATCAAACCAATAAAGGAGTGTAAAGCCAATGAGAGCCTACATAGTGTGTAATAAAAAATAATATTTATATCAATCATCAATTACAGACCATAGGATTAGGTCATCTTTAGTATAACAATAAATCATCGAAATCAAAATTAATGCGTTGTAAAACAACAAGGCTAATGCTGTCAGTGAATCATCATTAGATTGTTGTCCAAAATTAAAAACTTCATTATCATCTGTTGTACTT